TATTTCTAGAGCTTAGTCTCGTGGCAATAATACTCATGTTTAGCTACAATTTAAAAACTCCGTAGCTATAAATTGAAGTATTTGCAATAAACCTTTTCATATTGTAGCTAATATTCCATACTTTTAGCCATGAAATATATAGAACTATAGCAAATGATTTTCATCATTTGCTACGGAAAGTGAAAATGAATAGCCATGTTCTTGATACGTGGCTATTGTAGAAGTATGTGTTTAGCTACAAATTGAAAAACCCATAGCTAATATTCCATTCTCTTTTGCCATGAAGCATAAAATTGTAGCAATAAATTTTCTTCATTTTTGCTATGGAAATAAAAATATATAGCTACGGTTTTTATTATGTGGCAATATATATGTTTAGCTACAAATTTAAAAATTTATTGCTACTAATTAAAAAATTGCCACAAGCATTATTAGCCACAATAATTCATATAAAGCCTATTTAGAAATACAATCAAATTTTGACAGTGAAACACACAGGCAACTGTAGCATAAGATCTTCAATTACGTAATAAACACAATATATTAATAAACAAAATTTAACAAAGGTTCAACAATATCATTCCAATATTAAAACATCGTTTGAAACATATCAATAAGCTTTGACAAGAGGAAAAACATTATTCATGTGCCCGTCGACCTTGATGCTTTTATAACTCCTCCACAGGCTGCAATAACAATAGAAAAAAAAAACAAATAACTAAATGATTCAATGAAGTATTTTTTATATAAAATATTAAATTTTATTTTTAATATGAATATTACCTAAAAGAAATCACATATATACTAAATTACTAATATAAAAAGATAGTAATAAAAGTCTAATAAGTTACTTACCGTTAGATCTATATCATTTTGTTGTAGACCTTGTGCTGCAAGTATCATTCGAAATTTTTCTTCCCATTGTTTATTCATCTCTGCTAGTTGATTATTCATATCTTTCTTGATTTCTTCAACTTGTTCCTTAGCTTCCCTTTTAACTTCTTCCACACGCTCATTTGCCTCTTTTCTGGTCAATTCTAGTTGCTTTATAAGTTGTACTTTTGTTGGTCTACCACCAAAATATTCACTGATATTTTTTCTGGGGCCATACGCACGAAGATATCCATTTTTTTCGGCCCCGAGTACTTTTTCAAAGATATCATCATCATTTAAAGAAATTTCTCCTTAGAAAATAGGAAACAGAATACAATAAACAGATATGGGAAACTATACTGAACATTACGCTGTTGCGGCGCGCAATCCGATCCAAACAACATAACCATGGCGGTGTGCCAACCGATCCAAACGACATAACCATGGCGGCGTGCCAACCGATCCAAATAACATACCCATGGCGGCGTGCCAACCGATCCACACGTAGAACTCACATAAGGAGATATACATCGAGCTAAATTTGCTCATTACAACAGCATGCCAAATATCGGTCATAAGCACGCTAAGTGCATAATACCATCCCTGAGGGAGCATATAGCGTCATAAGCTACAAAACTCAAGCACAACTAGGGTGCGATATACAGACTGAATCTCAAGAGCCATCATGTTCATAGTACATCATCTCTGCACGGATCTTCAACACATAAGAAATTTCTCAAGCCGTCTCGCAACTCTCACGGTGCTATGCATCACTACATGGAATGTCTGACAACGAAATAACACCCTGACTACCCCATAAGGAGCGCATTACTGAAATGAACACAACTGGACTGACATAGAGCCCAAATTCACATTTACACCCATCCCCCAACCTCAAGTCGATCCTGATCATACCAAACTAAGCCAATAACCTTTCAAAGGTCCATACAAATTTTTCCTCTTCTCATAACACACAAGGACCACCATCATAACCGGAGCGAACCTCCACAGTCCATAACCCAATAAACAGAGTGCCCTCCGGGCATAAATTCTCAAATTAATGATATTATCACAATCCTCATACTTGGTCTAGATCTTAAAGATATCATCATCATTTAAAGAAATTTCTCCTTCTTTTTGCTACTTTTTAAATTGGTCAAATTGGTCCTACAATCAAAAAATGCAAATCAACCAAATATAAGTACAAATGTGTAATATAAAAGGAGATAAAAAGAAAAGAGAACACATTGACATTACAATAACATCTTGTTGAAAAGCATCAACTTGTTTTCCTTTTTTTCTCTTGCGGGATTCCATAAAAACTTCAACACGAGAAGGAGCTTTTCCATTTTCTTGCTCCTGCGGAAAAATAATCATTATCATTAAATGAATAAAATATGTGAATATAGTTCTTCTAAATTTGTTCTAAAAATATTATTACAGCATTCATACCATTTCGTATCTAAGTCTTGCATAATTTTTGGTCCCACTATATGGAGGCAAGGAACGTTTCGATCTATTTGTCTTGTTTTGTGTGCTCTTCTTCTAAATAAAAATTATAAAAAAAAATTAAGAACATTAGTTACTAAAGAAAAGCCAGTGATAAAAGAGAGCTTAATATGCCCTTGGATTTACTCATAAAAACTAGCAAATCGAATATGAAATACAAAGACAATAAAAGTATCGTGCTCTTATATAAGGAAATGTTAGTGATAAAAAGAGAGCTTAATTTTATTTGGAATCCAAACCATGGATCACAAAAATAATAATCAGAGTAAAACAGTTTTAGTTATCTCAAACACGCCCATAATTAATTTTCCTAAATAAACTTGAGATCCTCAAAATATGAAACACATAATAATAAAAAGGCAGAAACAAATTAATTTATAATTTAAATACCTGAAAGTCGGCATCACTCCAAAGATTGACCAAATATTTTCATTCATCTGCGGCAACAAGTTTAGGCTTGTTTCGTAGGCGAAGTTGGTAATTTGCTTTTGAATCAAAATACTTCTTCTTCAACTTGTACCTATAGTCTCTATAGAGGTCACTCATTTTGCTAAGAATTGCGCTTTTTCTTCCCTCGGGCATATCAAAATTAAACTTTTCCTATTTAAAAAAAATACAATCAAAGTTTATAATCATATATTCTAGTAATTGTTAAACCATAAGAAATTATAAAATATTATAAATTATTAGTTTGTTAGTTTTTCTTACCAAGATAATTTTCCACATATGGTCGATCTTATCTTGCTCAATCTCTTTTCAACAATTTACCTTTAAAGGGCAACAAGTTCGGTTTCTAACTGTTTGTCCCAAAAACCAAATTAATTTGCTTGCATTCTCACCGATAGCTTGATGATCTTCATCAAATTTCACCGGTAATTTCTTTCCCTCTTGTAAGTTAATTATTTTCACACACCGTGTAGGACCTCTAGTTTTTCTTTTCACAACGTTGGAACCTACAAAGATTAAATAAATAACGTCAAGTAAAAATATCGATAGAAGTAATTAAGATCAATAAAAATAGTGATTACCTGTTGAATTTGCTGATTCATGTGCTCCTACAACTGATTCTGTCACCTCTTTAGACTCATTACCCCTAGAACTATTTTCTCCAAGAGAAGCACTCATAAAAATATCATTTTTCAGCAGTGTATAAATCTCAATAGGCCTTTCTTTATGCATTCTATAACTAACAAGCATGTTTTTAATATCTTCATCGTCATGACATTCAACTAGCCCATCATAATCACTAATAATTCTATCACCTCTCAAATAAAAGAACTTGTCTCCCTCACAAATATTGAAGTTACAATACTCTTTTAAGTCATCCAATAGGTCAAAGAAAGATATAAAATCAACATCAATGTTTGTTTTCTTCAAATGACCACCTACATATTTTCTAGAAGGGGAGAATACAAAATGGCCACCATAGTGATAGCTAATTTCTTTCTCCCTTATCATGTCCGCGCTTCCTAAAAAATTATTGAAGATGAATTAGCTAAATATGAATAAACAAAGACACAAATTTATATAATGTGAAAAAAGATTTAATGACAAATTTAATATTACACAATAATCATATTACAATTACCCGGATAAACAAGTTCTTCTACAGGTTGCGTGAGCAAGTTTTCGTCAATAGACGATTTCTTAGAACTCTTAACAGGTTCCGAGTCACGATTATGAGTCAAGCGATTAGTTTTTTTCCAAAAATCATTCTTACCCATGTCTGGTTACAAATAAGAATTTGTAAGACACTAAAATAAATTATCATAAATACAAATATAAATGATATTTTCTGTAAGTACTTAGTAGCCAACTTCTTAACAAAGTTGAACCAAAAAGTAAAAAAAGGGATATGTCCGATAATCTAAGAACAAGAAAATTTGCCTAAGTCTAAAGAATTAAACAAAATAACATAAATTTAAATGCATAATGCTTAACTTGGAACAGAGATATAGGAAGAAATTAGAACCTTTGCTTCTAGTGATGACAAGTTGATTCAGACAAGTAATAAAAAATCTGCACCTCACTTTTTGGCTTTCTTTTGTGCTTTTAGTGTTTTAAGGTTTTTTTGCTCTCTAATCTTTCTATAGGAAAGGAACAGCATATTACTCTCTAATAGAATTAGGAGGCTTTAATTTAGGCACACAATATTTAGAGGGAAATAATATGGAGGGAATTTTTTTGTTTTTGTTAATTCACGTATTTCAAAAAGAGAATTCATGTTTCCCTCCTAATAATCAATAACCACAAAAAAGAAGCTCCGTATTTTTTTAAGTATAACAAATTATTATTTGACGGCAATTTTGTTCCTTTTCGAAATATAGTTTCCTTTTTTTATTTATGTTTAGGATACTTTGTTTTTCTAAAAAGTTATTCTGATATTTTGGCAAAAAAAAACCTAAGCTTAATGAACATATTTCAAAGGAATTAAATTAACAATAAAATTTTGTTAGAGAATCCTTTGGTACCGTTTGGTTGTCAGAAAAGGAAGGTGAAATTGTTGAAAGATTTCCTTTTTTCTTTTTTGGTTTGTTGAGCAGCAAAGTTTTAGGAAAAAATATCTCACGGCAAAAGTTGGGACAATTTCCTTCTTACCATTTCAAAGGAANAGGAACATGAACTTCGATGATTGGTTTTTCCATCGAGTAAGTTTTCATTACATTGTTAATTCTTATTTGTAATACTTCTTTAGCATCATTATTTTATTTATTTATTATTATACAGATTGTGCAAATGCGCAAGAAAGGAAATTCACAAGTAAGTTGCAAGTTGTATTCTTTGGCTAGAGGTCCTTTTGATGGAGTCCAAAGATTCAAAGGGTACGAGATAAATGGCTTTAGATTTCATACTAAGAAACTCGAAGGAAATAGGGTGAAGCAAAATAGTGGTGTTTTAGTACGAGGAATAATGAATGGCCAAAATATAAATTATTACGGTACTCTGACCGAAATAGTAGAACTTCAATATCTTGAAGGTAAACGGATTGTTTTATTTAAATGTGATTGGTTGGATGTTGATCACATTGGAAAAGGAGTGAAGATAGATAAACATGGCTTTGTTAGTGTCAATACTAAACGAAAGCTAGCAACAAATGAACCATTTGTTCTTGCATCTCAAGCAGAACAAGTTTTTTATGTCAAGGATAATCTTCATCCCAATTGATCCATTGTCTTGAATGGTCATTCTACTTATTTTACTGGTGGTGCTCTCAGTGAAGAAACTTTTCAACAAAATGCTCAAGAGTTCTCGTGTACATTTGAGGAAGATGAAGACTTTATGAACTGGAAAAGAAATGATCTTGACGTTATCAGCACTAATGTTACCTTAGACGATGATATTATTGAAGACATCGAATCAGAACCTGAAACTGATGATGAAGATTTATTACTGTAAAATATTTAGAAGTCTTATATGCATATTTGTTTATCCTCAAGTAATGTTAAACTTTTACTTATTTATTTGAGATGGTGTTTAGTTCTTTATTATTTTAAAGAATTTATGTATTACTTTATTATATTGATGAATTACTCTAATTGAATATGAGTTAATATTCAATAGTGTTGACTTGATAATTTTATTTGGATTGAGTTGAATGATCTTTTCTACCAGGTGTTACGTTGATGGATTCTTAGGGGAAACTATGGCGAATTTTTTATTAAATTAATAAATAAATATTGTTAAACATAGCATAGTTGTTTATAGAAATAGATTCTCGATGCATGACACTTGATTTAGGAATAGCTATGTGATTATAAGAATTTTAATAAATTTCACACTTGAATTTATAAACTCTAACAAATTCAACCAAAGTCCCTTGCATTCATTCCAACTAATGAATTAGTGACTGAACCTCTGTCTTCCTACTCTTTATAATTTTGTTTCATAATTGTCGCTAGGCGTGTAAAATGTTTGTCCTCTTTTTATAAATACAAATGTTTCTATATCTCTTGATAAGGAAAACCCCAATTAAGAAATTATCTATTATGAGTTTTATATTTTAGATGCTCTTTGCGTGTCAAATTTTTTAATAAGCTTCTAAAATAGATTTTTCGTTGAGTTGTCTCGTGTAGGCTTTTCCTGAGCACATATGTCCCAACAGTTGCTACAAGTTTTGAAAATTGTAGCAAGACTATTTTTTTTAGCTATGGAATTATGTGCAAACAAATGTATCGTGGCTAGAAGATTACAATTGCTACAGTGACTTCATATGCATAGCAAAACTTAGAATTAGCTACAATATTTATTGTAGCTATATAAATTCGTGGCTATTTTATTTTTGCCATGATATTCATCGTAGCTATTGAGCTAATTATTGCCACAACTTTATAACTTGAAGCAAATATATTCGATATTTTATTGACATAATTTATTGTGGCTAAATATTTATTGTTGCTACAATAAATTAAATGCGTGGCAAAAACTAACAATTAGCTACAAATTTATAATGTAACAGTAAATGTGTCGCTATTTTTGCAGTTATTGTCACGATACTAACCAACTATAGCAAAAAGTAGGAATTAGCTTTGCCAATTTACTTTTTGTAGGTAAGAAATTTCACCAAATTGTGAAAAGCCACGAAATTTCAATTTTTATGGCTATTGCTAGATAATAGCCACGCTTTTTTTATTCGTAGCAAAGAATTCGTAGCTGTAGATGCATAATGTTATAGTGATTTAAGTATTTTCTGAAAGTCGGCTGGCCTAGTACCGTCGATAGGCGCCATCACGACAGGGTAGATTTTTGGGTCGTGACACCCTGTGCCCAGGTATACCTTTCGATCGGGCAAGTTTTCCCTTAATATGACTTGTTCCAGCTCCTCGACCGTCGATTTAGTGGCATCGGAACCATCAGTGGCTATAAAAGATCTGGGAACCCCGTAATCATCATCCTCGCCTTCCCCTTGTTTTTTTGAATCTGCCGAGGATGGTATCAGTGATTGCTATTTGGCCCCGTTTTTGACCATCTAGTTTGGATACTTCGATATTAAGATTGTCGATTCCAGTATCACCTCCTCGACTGCGAAGATTTCCTTGGCAGCTGGTTGTTCACCGTAGACTATTTTGACTCCGCTAGGTGTTGGGAATTTCAGTACTGATGCAGTGTCGAGGGAACAACCCTCATGTTGTGGATCCATGGCCTTCAGAATAAAGCGTTGCACCTCATGTCTCCTTCGATCACATAAAATTTAGTTTTCTGGATGGTCTTAGCGTGTTTACTGGAAACGTTATCTGGCCCTTAGTGGTTTCACAGGCCATGTTGAATCTATATAGAACTCGGACTGCAGACAAAATTTGGTCTTGTAGAGCAAGCTGCTCCACGACCCTCAATCGAATGATGTTGGCCGAGTTACCCGGATCAACTAACACTCATTTAAATCTAATTTTATTCATGAGTACAGATATAGCCAGAGCATCATTGTGGGGTTGTACAATCTCTTCCGCATACTCATCGTTGAAAGATAAACTTTCTTTCGGTATGTAGTGTGACGACCCGGCCGGTTGTCTTAAGAATTAACGCCCCGATCCCCCATTAACTGCTTCCCCTAAGTTCATTTATGCTATTTTGGTTTGCCGGGACGTTCGGTGTTGAGTTTCGGAGAGTTTTGGGACACTTAGTCCCTAAATGAGAGCTTAAGTGTTGAAAAATGGTCCGTAGTCGGAGCAGTGTGAAGACGACCTCGGAATGGAAATCCGATGGTTCCGATAGCTCTGTTAGGTGATTTCGGGGTTGGGAGCGTGTTCGGAATGTATTTTGGAAGTTCGTAGCTCATTTAGGCTTGAAATGCCGAAGTTTGAATTGTTGAAGTTTCCGGTCCGATAGTGAGTTTTTGATCCGAGGGTCGGATTGGAATTCCGGAAGTTGCAGTAGCTCCGTCATGTCATTTGGGATGTGTGTGCAAAATTTCAGGTCATGCGGACGAGGTTCGGTTAGGTTTTTTATCGAAAGCGTGTTTTGTTGGAATTTGAAGTTCTTAGGCTTAAATGATTGATTAATTCGGGTTTCCGGTGTTGTTTAAGGTGTTTTGAGGGTTGGTGCAAGTTTGAATGAGGTATTAGGTGTTATTGGTGCTTTTGGTTGAGGTCTCGGGGGCCTCGGGATGATTTCAGGTGGTTAACGGGGAGATTATTGAAGTGTTACAGCAGCTGGTTATTCATCTTCTGGTATTTTCGCTTCTGCGGCTTGGGAACCGCAGAAGCGGAGCCGCATAAGCGGCTGGATCATCCCAGAAGCAGTTTGGGCAGAGTTTCCAGGCATCGCAGATGCGGAGGAAATTCCGCAGGAGCGGCCTCGCATCTGCGAGAAAATAGCCGCAGATGCGGCCATTTGGCTTTGTTTGGAACCGCAGAAGCGGTGGATAATCCGCACAAGCGGAACCACATAAGCGGTTGACTGGACCACAGAAGCGGATGTGGCTGGTTTAGTGAGAGTCGCAGAAGCGGCTCACTTTCCGCATAAGCGGGACCGCAGAAGCGGTCCCTTGTCCGCAGAAGCAGAAACACCTGTTCAGAAAAGGGAATTTCGAGGGTTGGGTTTCAAAAGTTGGAAAAATCAATTGAGAGCTCGGGAGAGGGCGATTTTGAGTGGGTTTTGAAGTGAAGATCATTGGGTAACGTTTTCTTAATCCCTTTTAGTTGTATTCCATCAATATACAGCTTAATCCATCATCTAATTTCGAATTTGGCATCAAAATGGGAGAAAAACTTCTTAGACTAAACCATTGAGTTTTGGGTGAGCATTTGACCTCCGATTTGGGGGATTTTTATATGGTTAGACTCGTGACAGTACGAGGGTTCTGAAAAGTTGAAAATTATCCGATTCCGAGACTTTGGCCTGAGGGGCATTTTGGTCATTTTACCTATTTTCGCGCCTTAGCTTTGAATTATATAGTAGAATCAGTTGCTTGCGATGTTATTTACGATATGTAATTGTATTGAATAGATTTGGGCCATTTGGAGTCGGATACTCGTGGCAAAGGCGTGGTTTCTAGTTGATTTTGTGCCGGTTCGAGGTAGGTGGCTTGTCTAACCTTGTGTGGGGGACCTTCCCCTTAGGATATGATATTTGGTAATTGAATGCCTTGAACGTGAGGTGACGAGCGCGTACTTGAGCTAATTGTTGAAAATCCGGCGTTACTTTGAATATTTAGACTGAGTTTCTTTCTTCTTTGCTTTATTTTACTTGCAATTATAGCCTGTGTTAGTTTAGAGAAGCATGTTTAGTCGACTTACCTGCCTACTTGTTTTAATTTGCTTTGTTTGTATTTCGTGAAGTATGTAGGGCTAGAATTTACTGTTACTTGTTATGAGTTGAGCATTTATTCCGATACTCATGAGCTGTTATTGTGTATTTAAATTTGGGACTACGGGACGACATCCCGGGAGATCCCCTGCACGTGTTTACGATCGGGACTGAGGTGCGAGATACCAAGAGATCCCTGGCACATTTTTATATATTGAGGATACCAAGAGATCCCTGGCATATTATTGAGGATACCAAGAGATCCTCGGGATACCAAGAGATCCCTGGCACATTTTTATATATTGAGCAGACCCAGTCAGAGTTCAGGCACCCGACACGCCTACTGCCACTACTACTCCAGCCCTTCAGGAGACTTTGACTCAGTTCCTGAGCATGTTTGGTACGTTGATTCAGGTTGTACCGACTACTTCACAGATCGGGGGAGGGACCCAGACTCCCTTCGCCCCCACTCCAGAGCAGCGAGTTCCCATTGGTTAGGTTCCTGGTGTCATGGCGACACAGCCTGTGGTCCCAGTTCAGCGGGTGTTGAGGACCTCTCGCCAAGTAGGAGACAGGTGGGTCCAGGAGAGAGAGGACAGACGAGGTTAGGAGGGAGAGTATAGAGGAGTGAGTAGACCTCGTAGATTGGGGAGGCCCGCTGGTCCTTATTTTTGGGGAAGAGTACGACACGATAGAGGCTTTGTGGGTCAGCCAACTTAGTTCGCATCTCAGATTCCACATAGGGTTTCAGGTGTTCAGGGGTCTCGGAGTACCCGTATTGCACAGTTTCCACCCCCACGTCGGCCGCGAGGTTGCTTTGAGTATGGTGACACACGTCACATGGTTAGGGACTGCCCCTGACTTGGTAGGGGTGCATCTTCACAGACTTCTCGGCCACAGCGTGCCCCGCAGAGTTCCCAGGCCATGGTTACAGCCCCAGTTGCTACCCCACCTACCCGTGCCGAGGCTGTTGCCTCCAATTCTGTCACCACAGGTATTATACTGGTTTGTCACAAAGAGGCACCGGTTCTATTAGATTCGGGCTCTACTTATTTTATGTGTCTTCTTATTTTGCTCCGCATTTGGGTGTACCTTAGAATTTCCTTGAGTTTCCCTGTTTATGTTTCTACTCCTGTAGGGGATTCTCTTGTTGTGGACCGCGTTTATCGGCCATGTTTGATTACTATTCGTGGTTTTGAGACCAGAGCGCATTTATTGTTACTCA